AGGGGCGCTGTGGCCCATCACACATCAGCCCACATAAATGTTTTTGGAGTGTTTCACGGTGCTGAATGTGATTCAGCACTTTGCTCCCGTGCTACAGAATCAACATGTATCGATTCACACAGACAACAAGGTGACTGCTGCGTACATAAACCAGCATGGGGGTATGCGCTCAGTCCAGATATTACACATTGCGCGAAAGCTACTGTGTTGGGCTCACCAAAATCTGCTCTCCATCAGAGCAGTTTACATACCCGGTGTTCTGAACAAAGGGGCAGATGTGATGTCCAGGGGCGGCCCACGTCACGGGGACTTGACTCTCCATCCAGACCTGATGGCTCAGACGCGGCAGAAATTTGGCAAAGCAGTTGTGGACCTGTTTGCAACACGAGAGAACGCTTAGTGTCAACTATGGTTTTCCTCGAGACCGCGAGACAAACCACCACTGGGGATGGATGCATTTGCCCACAGTCCATGGTCCAAAACGCTTCTGCAAGCGTTTCCTCCACCTCCTCTGATTTTACGGTTTCCTGAACCGAGTTCAGGAGGAGGGATTGACAGCTCTCCTGGTGGCACCCAAGCACGTGAACACACCATGGTTCTCAGCCCTACAACGCCTGCTGTCGGGGCGCCCGTGGAAACTGCCATGGAGGGAGGATGCTCTCCTCCAGGCAGGAGGAGCGATCAGGAGTTACCCAGAAATAGGCCAGCACCTGTGGGTCTGGCCACTGAGCGGTTCTGCTTAGAGAGGATGGGTCTCCCACAGGAGGTAGTGCGCACAATCCAGGATTCACGTGCTGCATCTACCACAGCGCTGTACACATCAAAGTAGACAGTTTTTTCAGCGCTGGTGTACAGAGAAAAGTGTAGAGGCCACCTCATGCCCATTAGGCGGTGTGCTGTTTTTTCTACACAACTGATGGACAGGAAGTTGGTTTTTCAGCACGATTAAAACGTACGCTGCAGCCATCTCTTTCTGCCACGAAGGGTTCGGAGACAGAACAGCTTTTAATCACCCGCTGATGAAGTGGTTTCTAAAAGGCGTACAGAGACGCAGGCCTGTTTCACGCCCACTTGTGCCACAGTGGGAGTTAACGCTGGTCCTGCGAGACCTGATCAAAGCTCCATTTGAGCCTCTGGATCAGGTTCAAATTAAATTCTTGTCTCTTAAAACAGCCCTGCTGTTGGCTTTTAATATCCACTAAGAGGGTGAGTGATTCATCTGCCCTCTCTGTCGCTCCGTCATGTCTCAGAATTCAGGCTGACGGTGGTTCAGCTGATCTAAGACCAAACCCAGCTTTTATGCCTAAAAACATCACGAGCTCTTTTAAATCAAGAGCGATATCGTTGGAGGGGTTTTTCCCTCCCCTCCACAGATCAGAAGAAGAAGCATCTTTCCATCTTCTCTGCCCGGTGCGGGCGTTGACGGGTTACATAGTGCACACGGCTGTAATGCGCCAAACTCAACATCTGTTTGTGCGTTATAGAGATGCACCTGCAGGTCGCCCGTTATCCACCCAGCGCTTGTCTCACTGGCTGTGTGAGGCCTCTTTCTGAAGCCTACAGAGCATCAGTTTTTAGAGCCTCCTGTCAACCTCAGGGCGCACTCGACCAGGGGTATCGCGTCTTCGACTGCCTTGCATAATGGTATGACAATGCAGGATTTTTGCACTGCGACTGCGTGGTCAACACCCTGCTCATTCATTCGCTCTTATCTACGTGATGTGACGGCCCGTTCCATGACACATTCTGTCCTTAGTGCTCTAACAGAATGAATATTGTTGTTTTCATGGAACTCTGTTTAAGCTCACATCTGTCTGCATGCTTCACAGTGTGAGTTGTGTATCAGTCACAAGTTGTGTCTGTTATTTTGGTTCTATTGTCACTAATCAGTTCATGACTAGTGTTACCAATCAGTTCATTTGATTAATAATCAGTCATTTGTTATTATTAATCGGTCTATTCTGCTAAGCCATGAACGCATAGTTACACAACATGCGTCTGTGCATGGCTCACATAATTACGCAATGCATAATTACGTACATGGTGAGCTGAGTGACAAGACGTTTTTTGGGCAAGCTTCTGCTTCATACTGTGTTCGAATGGACCCAGTGAGGCGAGGACCATATCTGCTTCGCCCTTTACCCACTAAGCGAAGGCCTTAAAGGGCGAAGCCTATATGAAATAGAACGTTGGTTACGTACTGTAACCCCATTCTATGAGTATAGGCGTAGCCCTTTAAGCGTCGGGCCTCACTGGCTCCTAAATGGCTGAAGAAAAAGCTATTTGGGAGCCGATTTCCCGCTCTTAACGTAATTTATACGGACCGGGTGGGGCCCACACAGCAGGTGGGCGTGGACTAAATTTTTCAGTGCTTATGCTCTGCATAACAGGATAAACCCACTAAGCGAAGGCCTTAAAGGGCTACGCCTATACTCATAGAATCTGGGGTTACAGTACGTAACCAACGTTTTCTGAGGTCCAAGGTCAACGTAGCCATCTACCAGGAAGTTTTGGAGCACTTTATGCTTCCTGCTGCTGACCAACTTTATGGAGATGCAGACTTCATTTTCCAACAGGACTTGGCACCTGCACACAGTGCCAAAGCTACCAGTATCTGGTTTAAGGACCATGGTATCCTTGTTCTTAACTGGCCAGCAAACTCACCTGACCTTAACCACATAGAAAATCTATGGGGTATTGTGAAGAGGAAGATGTGATACGCCAGACGCAACAATTCAGAAGAGCTGAAGGTCACTATCAGAGCAACCTGGGCTCTAATAACACCTGAGCAGTGCCACAGGCTGATCGACTCCATGCCACGTTACATTGCTGCAGTAATCCAGACAAAAGGAGCCCCAACTAAGTAGTGAGTGTTGTACATGCTCATACTTTTCATGTTCATACTTTTCAGTTGGCCAACATTTCTAAAAATCATTTTTTATTTGTCTTAAGTGATATTCTAATTTTCTGAGATACTGAATTTGGGGTTTTCATTAGTTGTCAGTTATAATCATCAACATTAAAATAAATAAACATTTGAAATATATCAGTCTGTGTGTAATGAATGAATATAATATGCAAGTTTCACTTTTTGAATGGAATTACTGAAATAAATCAACTTTTTCATGATATTCTAATTTTATGACCAGCACCTGTAAGTATCAGGCAGATAGAAAAACTAACCAAAATCTCAATATCCTGATGCATGCTCTCGCTTTATACTACAAACTGTTTGCTGTAACTACCATCAGGGGTCAGGATAACCTCACTTTCTCATTTTTTCTACAAACAACAACTTGGCTCAGTTGTAGCTGGAGACAGAGGCCAGAAACAGACCAAACCTTTATGACCTTAAACACGAAAGGAACCTGTAATAAATAAATTTAAAAAGTTTATAAAACTAATATCATTCACAGCATGAGCTGATGAAAGCCATGGTTTGAGCTGGATTTAACTGTTGTGTGGGGAAAAAACAGCAGCCTTTAATTCCACCGAAAGATTTTCTTGTTTCCCATGTGAGTTTACCAATTAAATGTTTAAACCTAAAAAAAAATACTTAAACATAACCATTGTTGGCAGCAACTCATATAGCAAATCTCACCATCAAGTAGGAAGTTATAAGGAACATGTGAAAAGGTGAACTTACCCGCTCTTTTTACACACTGGCTAGTAAAATTTAATTGCCAACAGGGTAAAAAACTCCAGAACTCCAAATGGCTGGAAAACATCCAGAGAAAATATAAATCAGTGCTAGTTTGATTAATTAATTTATTTATTTATTCATTTATTTGCCAGGGGACAATATGACAAAACTAGAAAAATTCTTGAAGACATTTGAAATGTGCATTAAGCTGTGGGGGCCATCTTGAAACAGGACGACTCCAAAAGATGTGTACCACATGATTACTTTGTGAAAGTTTAAATGAAAACTGTTGAGTGGTTTGTGAGATATTTTGTTTTAAACAAAAACTGATCTGTTGGCAGCCAAAGCGTCTCAGGGACCACTGCTACAACATCAAATATCAGCTCAGAGCTCCAAAAATGGCTGCATTAAAGTCTTTTTTTTATTTGAGCTCATGTGGCCATTTTGAATGTTGAACAAAAAACAGCACTTTATGAGCATACTGTCAGCTACTATGACACTTGATTTTAAATCAGTAGTTCTCAAGATAAACAAATTATAAATAGTTTGTGTTAGCTGTGGTGCTTTGTAGACACTAAAATGATGAAAAATGCATAATGTGTTTTGAGAGGAGAAGAAATGAGGGGGATAATCCATCTGTTCATTTTCTTTACCCACTTTCCTTTCTTGTTGTAAGGGAGCTGGAGCCTATCTCCATCAGTCACTGAGGCGGGGGACACTGTGGACGGGTCAGGGACACAGACATGAGACAACCAGTCACATTGACATTTACACCTTAGAGGTAGGCTAGTAATTAACCTAACATGCATGTTTTTGGTCTGTGGGAGGAAACCAAAAAAAAAAAACACATGCACCATAAAAAACATACAAACTCTTCACAGACAGGCCAGGGGTTGAACCTGCAACCTTTTTGCCGTGAAGCAACATCTCTAACCACTGTATCACTATGTGTGAGATCTGGATGACTGATTCATCTGTCATGACATTAAGGAAAAAAATGTTGGTTAATGTCACAAAGTGGTTAATGTAGCTTTTTCCTCTCACAAAATAAGAATAAAGAAATAAACTGTAAAGTTGGTAAATAAAAAAGTTTTGGTTTTGCAAATCATTGCCGCTCTTTTTAATTTGCATTTCAATATCTGACTAAATGTAAAACTTGGGGGAAAATATATCACAAAAAATACAAAGTATAAAGTAGCTGTGTTAGGTAAAAGTCAATTCATGTAAACTTCCGTTTCCTTACAGGTAATGAGTGTGGCGGGCTTTTATTCTGAAATCTAACCGGATACAGCGTGTTTATTCCGGTCTCTTGACGAAGGTCCGAGCAGCAGGAGGCTCTGCTCCGGGTCTCAGTCAGGCGCTGATGTGACAGAGTGACTGCAGCTTGTCCCGGACCCGGCCTCCCAACTTCGGCATCCGCTCAGGATGGATCCGAGACGAGCTGAACCCGCACTAAGACCCGAGCCCGGTCCGGTCACGCTGTACGGGGAATTCACGCTTGTCAGTAACCGAAAAGTCAGGTGTTCCGTGAAGCTGACGGAGAGGGACCTGGTGGTCCAGAGGCTGACGGCGGCACCTGTCGGGTGGAACAAGGTGGTTCTGAGTCTGAGCGACTGTGTCGGCTGCCGGGCTTACCGGGGCCACGACAACAAGGCGGACGGCTCGTCGTACTTCGCAGCCTACTTCTACCCGCTGAAGCGCCGCTGGTGCTCCGGAGCGTCGCGGCAGAGAGTGGAGCAGTGCTTCCAGCTGTCCGCGCTGCAGGAGCCGCACGCGAACCTGGAGGAGGCGGAGAAGTGGGCTCGCGCCGTTCGACAGCGCTCTGCCCGGCAACACGCGCTTAGAGACGGTGAGTGTTGGCTAGCAACGAGGCGAAACTTAACCGCTTAAAGTTGTAGTTTACCGCGAGGAGGCCCGACGAATGTAAAACAACAACAAACAAACAAACAAAAAGTTGACCAAATGTTTACGTGACGATTGGAGCTGTGCCAAGAGTGTAAAAACAACAAAAATCAAATGAACTGTCAAAGCTGCAGCAGTGGCTCATTGGTCGCCATGGTAACCGCAGTCGCTTCCTGACGGCAAGCCTAGAAGCAGACTAAAAAGGGACCCTCAGATTCCAGTTGCTGTGCAAAAATTACGAGTTGTTCAGCAAAAATTTCAAAATTTTGAGCTGCTGAGGGCTTTGATTGTCAAACATGAAGTTTTATGTTTGGAGGTGTGGCAAGTTAAATATATCCTTCCCTTCCAGTTTTAAACAGAATTTAGAGCTAAAATGTAAAGTTTGTGGAAGATGTGTGTGCACTGAGGGGCTGTGGCTGAGTGGTTAGAGCAGTCGTCCTCCAATGCGAGAGTTGGCGGTTCGATTCCACCAGCAGTCACATGCCGAAGTGTCCCTGGGCAAGACACTGAACCCCTAAATGCCTTCGATGTGTGTCCCATCAGTGAATGCATGTGATAAAGCTCTGATCAGTCTTTGTAGAGATCTAGTAGAGAGCTGTATGAATGGGTAGATGAGGGCACAGATTGTAGTGTAAAGCACTTTGAGTGTCTTGCTCAGATAGAAAAAGTGCTATATAAGTGCAGTCTATTTATCTCAGAGAAAATCAGGAGGCTGGAAAATGACTGGCTGCAAGAAAACATAAAGACCTACTTCTCAAAGTGTTTTGTGTTAAAAAAAAAAAAATAAATAAAATTGTGGAAGTAAGAAAAATTGGCAAAATATTTTAAATTTCTTAGAATTAAACCATTTGTTAAGAAAAAATGGAATCTACATCGGTGTAAAAAACATAAAATATACTAGAATGCTAGTTCAGTCACATAAAGTCCAGTAGTTTGTGTTTTTTGTAAATTTAGAGCTGTCAAGCTCCGAATAGGACGGACGTTTCTACCGGTTTCAGTAAAATCTTATTCTTGCCAAATTTATGGTAAATTTCTAACGTTGTTGGTGAAATGTGTCTACATCATACAGCTAAAGAGCTTTTATATTACCACCCTGCATAAATATAAAGACACAGTTAAAGGCTTAACATGTTTCTAAGAACTACCTTAACGACTTAAATTGTATTTATCATTGTACAAATATGTACACTTTCTGTTATTTATGGCTTTCTCAATGGTATTCTCAGTTATGGGTCACTGGGACTGAGCTGTAAAAAGACACCAAACGGCATGAAGCTCAATAGATCTGGAAATTCAGGACCTTTTTATCTGCGTTTTTTTTTTTTTTTTCCAACTTGTGCAACAAATTCAAATTAACACTTGATCATTTGGAGCCGAAATTATGAGGGAAATTATAAAAAGCTGCAGTGACAGAGTATTTTGCTGCTCTTTCTTATATGACATTAACTAATTGTCTGCATCTTCTGACATTTCCTTCCAGACAGTAATTAGATGATGTCGTTATTTCCTTTGCAGAACTGGTTTCTCACCACTAATGAGCTTTTGTTGTCTTGTCCTTAAATAAATTAAACATCATGAAAGACTTGAGGCAGATTCAAACCCAACTCTTTTAGTGGAGAGGAACATTAAAACGACAGAACCGTATTATAGTAATGTTGACTTTAGGACAAGAGATTGTCTTCGATTGTGGTTTATCTGATTTGTCGTTGCCTTTTGACCTACTTCTCACATTAATAAAACAAAGACCCCAGTGTGGTGCGGAGTCACGTTTCAGTCTACAGAAAACGTGGATAACGTGACGGACATCTGAGAATCTTACTGTACGTCAGCTTCAGGTTGGCTTCAGACTTTTTGTCTGAAGAAAGAGGGAACTTTTATTAACTCAAGAGATTGTTTGCTTCAATACGTGTTGTGGTTTGATTGCTGGAAGTGTAACCTGAACCAGTTTACTGCCTTGGGACAGAGACGTGAACACACATTTCTCCAGTATTTGCTCTCCCGTCACCTCTTTGAGTCAGACCTTGTTTTTGTGCTCAAACAGCCGAAGGGTTTGGGGCATTTTAAAGACATTTTTGAAGAACCTGTTGTCACTAAAAGTCCTTTCTATATTTGTGCTAATGTTCTAAAATTAGTTCAAAAGAACCTAATAAGATAAACTAGGGATGCACGATATTATCGGCATGGTATCGGTATCGGCTGATATTAGCGATGAAGTTAAATATCGGGCATTGACCATTCCATCAAAATAACGCACCGATAAAAAAGGCACTGTTTCAGCACAACGTTGTGACATCCCGCGCGCCGTTGAGTTGAGATTTGTGAAAATGTACAAATTTGCACTGTTCGAGTGTCGTCATTGTGTTAGAGAGAGTAAATGCCATGAATCAATTTGACATTAAACATAATCCAAGTTGAAGTGTTGCATCATTTTCAGCTAACTTTTGGCATCTGCATTGGCAGCAGGCTAAATTGACAAAGACCATGTAGAATAATGTAGTATTTTAAGTCCACAGCAGAGGTATAGGTCTAGGGAAAAATATCGATATTAGTATCGGTTATTCACCAAATAAGTTTTAACATATCGGCATATTGGCCAAAAATCCAATATCGTGCATCCCTAAGATAAACATAAAAAAGTCAAACATGATCACTTCATGAGAACAGTCCAGTTTTGTGTAACGCTAAGTGACCAAGTTACAAAAACCTTTGGGTTTAGAAATGAATTAGAAGTTAAAATTAGAGCTGAGGGATGACCATCAAGCTCGAGTGAGTCTTGTTTTATTTGAAGAACAATCTGCTTTAGGTCAGTTTAAACATTAAATACTGCTCAGACTACATCAGGTTTTTGATGTGAAGCTGTCAATTGGCGTCTTTATTTGCAGATCTTATTATCTGTGAGTCAGGTTGATTGAAAATGCTTCTTTATTCATCATTTGTGAGTTATTATAACAGAGTTTTTTATTCAACCATAAGCATTTTTTATTTGTGACCGTTTGTAATCATGAGAACAAACATCCCTTCATCTATTATCTTTACCCGCTTCTTCCTTTCTGGGTCACGGGGGTCACTGGTGCACTTATCCATCAGTCACTGTGTGAGAGGCGGGGGACACCCTGGACAGGTCTCCAGTCCATCACAGGGACACTGAGACAAACAAGACAAGCAACCATTCACTCTCACTCACACCTAGAGGCATTTTAAAGTTATCAATCAGTCTAACATGCATGTTTTTGGTCTGTGGGAGGAAACTGGGGTACCTGGAGAAAACCCACGCATGCATGGAGAGAACATCCAAACTCCATCCAGAAGGGTCCCTGGCCGAGGTTTCATCCAGCGACGTTCTCTCTGATAGACAACAGGGCTCAAGGGCCCAGGGTGGGGAAAATGAGGGTGGAGGCAGGTGCGGGTGCTTCACATTTCCCACCCACATTTTGATGTTGGTCTGGGGAGTTGGACTGGCAACCTTCATACCACAGACCCACCTTCTCTAACCTCTGTGCCACCACTCCCCTGTTAATATGAAACCTGATTCAAGCCTCAGGGTTCTTTGGTATTTCTGGAATGTGGCAGTATCGTTGAAGGCAGTGTGCAGTCATTACATCAGCTGTGATGGTTTATAATCACGTTCAGGAGCTCTGAAGAGAAACCATTAGTCCAAATGAGGTCCGACCTCTTCATCAAGGCTCTCACTGACCTCTGGCCTACTCACAGAATTATTCAGAAAGCATCCATCTCCTCCAGAGCCTTTGTGCTCTGACAGGTAAATGGATGCTGAAAATGTAACATGCAACCCCACATGTGGGTTTATCCAGTTCCTGGGAGAGACTTCACTCCTTTCATTCTGTTCTGTCATAGGAAATGCTTATTATCTAAGGCTAACCAACCATATCCTTTGATTCTGTCCATCAGTTTCTGGTCTGCTTCAATATGATGGACTAAAACTAACAGCAGGCTTGTGTTTTTTCACCAGTTTAGCGTGACCAGTGTGTCTTTTCTTTTCTTTTGCAGCACAGTTGCTGCATTTACTCACTCCTGTCTTATTTTTAAATAAACCTTTTTTTGAGAACAAAATTGGATTAAAAACAGCAATCTGCCTCTGAGAGGAAGTGCAGAAAAGGTGCATGTCTGTCAGTCTGTGGTTAATTCTTTGAATACTGTCTACAAAAGTACATGATGGAACACATGTATGTACAAACCACTTCTTATTCTACAGCTGATCAGAAAAACGTGTCCGAACTTTATTTCAACCTCTATAAATTAATTTCTGCATTCTCATTTTGAAGTTGCTCTTCAGCTGATTTGTATTTTATTTATTTATTTCAAAAATAGCTCAGATCTTAAGGCTGCCAGTGGAAATACAGTACATCTGGGATGTCATCGTCATAATTCCGGCTGTGACAGCGGCCAGTATTGACCAAAGTATCCAGTTGTTTTAATGGATTACACTCTTGACTGCTCTTCACAAGTTATATTCAACTCAAAACCAAGAAAACTCATATTTTGAGTTTAGGATTAGGTAGGCACCTAATCTGATTTTGTGGGTCGATTTATTGATTTACCAATTTAAAAATTGTGATCAACCCCCAAAGTCCCCCGACTCGGCTTCCTCCATGGAAGACGTGCTAGTGGGATTGAAATGTCCAATAAGTATTCCTTCCACCTCCTGACAACATCACGGGTTGAGGTCAACAGCACCCCATCTTCACTGAATACAGTGTTAGTAAAGTGCTGCTTTCCCCTCCTCAGCCACCTGATGGTTTGCCAGAATCTCCTCGAAGCCATCAGAGAGTCTCTATCCAAGGTCTTACTGAACTCCTCCCACATCCGAGCTTTTGCCTCAGCAACAGCCAAGTCTGCACACCGCTTGGCCCTCCGGTACTCCTCAGCTGCCTCCAGTCTCCCACTGGCCAACAAGGCCCGATAGGACTCCTTCAGCTTGACAGCCTC